ACATCCCACTGGCTTATCCTTCAGCATCCGAGCATCTCATCTGTTTTAGAAGCACAATTAAATCTTTCAAATGGATTCACTCAGACATCTGAAAGGAAAAAGTGTTTATATTGAATGTGCCCAAGTAATTTGTACTGCCATTCTCCCTAAAATACCACATACAAATTGCTTCTGTGTGGTCTCTAAGGCATTAGAGACTACACGTTAAAAGGAAGCAAAGGCTATTTTTAAAGTGAAGCTTAAGACCTGACAAAATTGGAGTAGCTTACATTTTCTTCTCCCATCCACACACCCACCCCAAATGCCAGTCCACAACATTGAGGCTCAAGTTGATAAATTAGGCTCTCGTAACTCATTTTTGTCAACACTTCAGTGGCGGCAGATCAGGGCAGGAACAGTCTTCTCCTGGCAGCAAATTGGCCGCACTTACCTTTCAGTCCCCTCCCCACCACCCACATCACAACATAAGCTCATTTCAATGAAAGTGATGTCAGTCTCTCAGCAGAAAGCCACTGAAAGCAAGAGCACGGAAGAGTATCATTGAATTGATTCCATTAGCGTAATCTAAGAGGAAAATAATGATTTATCAAACTCCCAGCTTGGAAACAGAAAACAAATAGTCTGTGGTAGAGCAGAGAAACTCAGATTTATAACCAACCCAATAAGCATGGAAATGAGAAAGCTCTCGGCTGCCCGCACATGAAAGAGTGAAATATTGTGATAATACCAACAAGGGATTCTCAGAGATGTAAAAAGCACCAGCAGGGAAGGAGACCAGAAGCTTCCTGGTGATGGCAGGGGAATGCGAATGGCTTCACCCCAATGAGATGAGGAGGATTAACACCATCAAGGCACTATACCAGCAGACACAGCCTGCAACAAACAGGTGCAAAAAAAGAAAAAACAACAAACCCAAAAGCACATGGGCTGGCCTTGAGATCTGCTACGCCCCATGTGAAATCAGGATGGCAGCCAGGCTTCAGGCAAGCGTCCAGAACGCCCGCAGCACACCTGGAGACAGGGCTGTGGAAGCTGTGCGAGGCTGGCAGGCGGTGGCAGCAAGAGGGACCACCAGGGGTAGGGACTGAGGCAGCCTTGGTGTTTGAAGAGGTCAGACAGACTGTGGTGGGGAGGGTTTCGTTAACCCTGAGGCGCTCAAGTTCCCGCAGCTCATTTCTCCAGGAAAACTCTCTAATTTATTGCAAGAAAGGAGACCTCCAGTGTGTGTTATCAGAAGAGGTGTTGGAGAACAGGATCTCCCAGAAGGCCAAATTCTTGTGCAGCTACATATTGAACACCTGCTAAAGCCCTGAAAAAGTTAGGAGCAGCAATGAGGGGAGCAGGGTGAGAGCGTAGGTGCGAGTGATGAGCTATTCAACTGTGAAAACATCTGCAAAATGATGGAAAATTAAAAGGCAGTCCAGTGCAAGAAGAGAGAAGTTCCACAACAGAGCAAACGTTCTGCTGTTTGGTTGTGTTTCCTCTCCCTCTACCCTGCCTTTAAGACAAAGCAAAATCCACCTGGAATCCACTCTGCATCTGACCCACCCAGGCTCCTCTTCTAGCCTCAGGCAATTGTTTTTCACACCTTACACAAGGGAGCAGGTTAAATCCCACCACTGGGTTTAATCACCTCTGCACAAACACCATCCAGGGTCTGAACTGCTTTGTCAGATCTGCCAGGCACCAGCTGGGACTTGGTGAGACAGACCCCTCTCCAGGTGCCGGTTGCACTGGGACCTCGCTGCTCACTACGGTCTGAGAACAGCAGTGAACTCCCACTGCCCAAAACATCCTGGGAGCTCTTCGCTTATCACCTATAGCCAACACACACCTCAGCAACAAGCCTAATACAGCTCGTGCCAGACATCTGGCAACTCCAAGACACTTAAACCTTTTAAAAATAAGTCAGCAGCACCAAAGATGGGAGAGATGCAGCCTTCCTAGTTAGTACTCAGACCACATGCTGGCTGGAAAACACAGGAGATCACAATCGTTATCCACGCTTATGAATAAAATATTACTTTTATTTTAGTAAAGTAACAAAGCTTATTTACAGATAGAATAACTGTACATTCCCATTGAAAAATAGATTGTGCTCAAACTCATTAAAGTAAGTCATACATAGTCTATTAGGAACACGAACAACCTCAAACCTCCCAATGCCTTCGGCTCCCGTCTTCTCTCAGGGAATCAGCTTGTTTTATTCTGAATTATTTTCTGCTGATTCTCAAGACATTCCTTCAGCTTGTCTTCAGTGAGCGTCAGCCTCTGCTCCAGGATGGAAACTGTCTGCAAAACAAAACGAAAGCTGCTGTTGAGCTGCTCACAAAGACAAGCTACGTACTGTACTCTCAGCGGTAATAAAACACTAAATCCACAGGAGTATTTTGAGTTATTTCAGGGCTGTAACTCCCGTATCAGCATTTTAGCAGGGCTGAGCCCCACATGACCTCAGAGAGGCTGGCGGACACGAAGCTGCAGACAAGACAACACTGAGCACCCGTTTCAGCACTCGGTGCCTTCAATTTGGGCTCCACTTTTCCTTTCATGGACAGGTTCTGTCCTTCCACATTCATGAGCCACCAGACAACTCTTCTGCTAACTAGAGACAGAGGTTTCAAACAGCCAGTTTCAGCTTTGATTTTGCCTCTCTGCTTCCAACTCTTTCCTCCCTTCCCTGAATGCTGTCGGTTTGCTGCAATTAAAACACAAAAACCTGCCGGACAAGCACAGTGACAGTAAGAAAACCCTCCCAGCGTAAGGCAGTGCAACAGGCGATGGAGGAGAACTGAAACCCAAAGTGGCAATATCCACCTCGACATAATGCCTGAATGTTTTTGTGTAATCCAGTTACCCCACAAAGGATTGTTACATCTTTCTCCTTGAGCTGAAGTCATCATGTACAGGATGCACAGGAAGAACATTTGAACCACGTGGCAATAAAAGCTTCTGCTGAAAACCTTTTATTGATCACTCCGAGGTAATCAAGGGACCTGGCTATGCAGAACCGCTTTCAGCTTCCACAGACACCGGAATGGCTGATAATAGGCGGTGATGATTTAATGCTTTAATATCCATAAACTTATCAGCAACAATCAATAGCTTCACATTTTGAGCATTTTTACTGCATAAATAACATCCTCTGTTAAAAACAAAGGATGTTCAGAACCTTGGACTTTATTAAAGTAATTCAAATAAACTTGGACAACCGCTGTTTGTATAGCAGTTATACATAGAAAGCCTTTTAATAGCACATTTTGTAAGCACATCTCTAACTGCCTGATAAAAGAAAGCAGGTCTCATTATCCCCATTTTACAGCTGGGGAAACAAAAGCACAAAGAGAGGAAATAGCTTGGCCAGGGCCACTTGAGACTAGGAAAAGTCTCCTGTAAAATGATTTGGGGAACAAGATGAATGCTGGGGGGGGGAGGAGAAAACAGATGTAGTAAAAACACCACCAAGCACTACGGCAAAGACATCTTGCAAGACTGTGTATCAACAAAGTCAGAAAGGGCTGTGCATCATAGCATTTACCATAACAGATCCTTTTTTTCCCCTCCCCAAACAAAGTTCAAAGGTTATTTCTACTGCACATGTATTGCTGAGCTGTGACAAGGCAGAGGAGCTAACTCCTGCTGCCTAATGCAGCATTGCTGCAAATGGAGAAAGCTTCACCTGAAAGAGAAAACCCTGCACTGCTTCCTATTCCTGTGGGCTACAGCACTAGCTTCATTTAAGTTTTTTTCCTCCTCTATTGCCACCCCTTTGAGGCATAAGAACTGCAGTACACAGAGAACCAGAAGAGAAGTTGTGGAGCCAGCAGGTAGCATCCTGGGTGCCATGGAGCCAGCAGGAGCCCTCCCATCTAGTCAAAGGGGACAGGATTTCATATTTTTCATGCTCAGCCACGCTATTGCCTAGTGGCTGTCTTACAGAGATCAGGAGTAAAGCTACTCAGGGCAGAACACAGCACGCCAAATGTCTACCAGGGGTTTACAGCAAAGAGCTTATCCTGCAAGCAGCCAGACAGAGAATGAAAAGCAGTAGGGATCCTGGATTTTCCATTTAAAAAAGAAGAACCAGTAGCTCAAGCCTCTGTTGAAAAGGAAGGGGGGTGTGAAACATTGCATCAAATTTCCTTTAGAAAGATAATCAACTGAGTTAACATCCTGGTCACACCGCCTTGCTAGAAGCAAAGCCCCAGAATACTCGCAGTTCCTATGTCCCGTGATTTACTGCAACCACCATCCTGCCAATGCGACTTAAGGACTGTTACATGCGGCACCGTGAGACTAAGCGCAAGTAAAGCACATTTCAGAAAGTGTTGAATTTGTGAAAAAGCTGTAAGGAAAATATTTATTGGATTGGAAATTGCATGTAAGTATAAGCAGAAAACCTGTAGTGAGTATTTTTTGGAAACCCAAAGTGGAAAAGTAGCAGTCAGAAATTAAATCCAGTAAGTCCAAAGTAGGAACTGATGACTATGGTCCATTTAGACTTGAATATATGATGCCCAAAATACACAGGGCATCTCACAGCCCAGGAAGGTAACGGAAAGCAGAAATCCTGCCCAGCTGCTCTGAGTGCTATATTGTAACTTACATGTAAAAGAAAAGCTCCTTTATTAGCAGCTGACAGAGTTTTACAATATTTCATGTTGCTATTTATAAAGTGAGTCTTTGTTGGTAGGCAAATTAAACTGCACCCATTCAACTCCTGTATGTTTTTGCTATTGATTTTCAGAAGATAACAAGCCAACAATTAAGCCAAGGAGGAAAATACTGTTAGCCAGATTCAGTGAGGATTCAATGGAGCCAGGTTTGCACTCGAGACATTTCTCTGTGGCAGGGTCTGGGCTTCCTGTTGTGTCAAGAGCACAGTACATGTCTCCATTACGCACCAGGGAGTAAATGCTGGATAATTTATTAAAGTCCTAGCTCAAATTGGCAGAAGGATAACAGCTTAGGTTTAAACGAGAAGAAATATCAACTTATTTATTTTTTTAAGGAGTATTTCTGACATTACAATAATATACTGAGCATTACTATGGACACCAAAACAGAATATGGAATTTTTCACACTAAAGAAAAACTTATTTAAATCACTTCTATCAACACTTCCTGCAACATTTGTCTTCATTCATCTTTGCAGACTTAGCCTAGAAAAAAAACCTGCTGTTCTCTTTGGAAACATTAATGAGAAACTATGCAGAAAAGAAAAGGTTACCTTCCACTTACTTTTTAAGTTTTGGGGAATATTCAGCTGCATTCTCCCCCAGGACACCTAAACTGAAGCACCCAGTAATCACACTTGCCTACATGATGACAAGCCCCCTGTGCTATTTCCCCATGTTATTTTTACTCCCTCAACCTAAATAATAGTGATTTGCAACGCTATTTGCAAGATGCTTTCACCAGTATCTTTTCCTTTGTCCCTGTTAAACATTTCCCCGGCTGATGAAGCAGCAGCAACGGTTTAAGAACCGCTAGCCTCAGGGCTGAGGCTTTTGCAGTGGCCTGGGGATGGGGGGAGGGCGGCAATCAGTCCTGCCTCTTCTGAGGACTACAGATAAGGGGACCCAGGTGCTAACCGAATGCCAACAGAAACCAGTTCTACAACTGCGAAGGAAACCTGCATAGCAGCGTCCAGAGCAAGCCAGCAGAGGCCACAGCAACCCTCTTGAGCAGGGGGGTGGGGGTCCCTGCCCGGTGAGACCCACCTAGAGAGACGGCTGCTCATTAACTAAAGCAGAACTGAACCAAGAGCAGGGCAACAGTGGAATAACGCCAGGCTCACCCGGCCAAGGGATGCTTGCCCTGCAAGCAAAGCGGTGCAGCTCCTGCCCTGCAAGCAGCACATGGGTTTTCCAGTATGCCACTCACGCTGGCTTTGACCGAGTTAGCACACAGAACAGCACGGGGGACGTAACACCACTCTGGTTATCACCAGTGATTGTGGGACCCCAAAAACCCCATGTATTGATACAACGGTTACTCAGATCAGGTAACAACAGCTTGGCTGAGCCTGCAAGGGACACGCTCCTGCACACCGACTGCAAAGTAGATGTGCTGCTGGCTATGGGCAAAGTATGACATTTGCACTCTACTCCTACCACCACTTCATAACAAAATCTCTCTCCATTGATCTGTAAGGGGATAGAAATAGTTTCATAGCTTTACTTAAATTAAAAAAAAAAAAAAAGTCTGCTCCATCAGTTTTTCTAAGCATATGCTAAAAAAAGATTTTGCAGGGCACTAACATATCAAGCACCCCAAGAGAAAACATTACTTCTCCCTCTTCATGTCTTTCCCGTCTGACACGTTAATCTATGAATACAGCATTTTCTTTTCAATTTATCAAAAAATGCACCTGCAAAAGAACATGCAACAAATACGGTTTATAAGTTTCTGTGTACTCAGTCTTCACACTCCACCGTAGTGGAAGGAGAGACTTCGGGATGCCTTTCAAGAGGTACAATGAAGACTACAGATGGCCCACAGATTTACAGATTAAGACTTGTCAAATTTGACCTGGAGTTGCAGGCTTAAGACATTTGACCTCTGTAATGAGCAAGGCCAATGCTGGTTTGTTTTCAAAGGGCTAGATGCTCTGCTATACCTTCTTATGGTTTTCCCTAAAAATGGTTATTTCAGAGCCAATTTCAGTCTCAAACATGGCCACGAAGTACCGTAAGTAAACTGTGTCATCAAAATGCTGCCTCAGCATCCAAGGGTCCCTCCTTGGCAACCGCTAATGAGCGAGTTCAGAGGTACCTAGATACCTCTAGGGCACAGATTCGTGGACACCTGGAGCACAGACTGCTGCACAGCATCAAGACCTGCTGGCACTATACAGGAAAGTAAAGAGTCTTGCAAGAAAGTAGTACAGTTGCTAACCTTCAAGTGCACCAGTTAGTAATATTGACAAGAAGATGCTCCAGTCATTGTATGTGGATCACTAAAATAGTACTCCAACACCTGCTAAATGCAGTCCTCAGCATATACACAATCCTATGCGGAGACAGGAATTGGCAAATATCCCCGTAAATTAAGCTTGGGAGCTCCTTCTCTAAACTAATGCAATGAGTGAAATAAACTACCACAGGAAGGGCTTGCAGCAGGGTAGCCCCCCCTACCTTTCACAGAAAAAAAAAAGTTAACTCCTTCCATCAACAACAGTTTACCAAACTTCAGCTGCAAGATTAAAAGGCTCATGGGAGAACTTGTGCAGCAGAAGTCACTGTGAAGTTCAACCATGAACCTGTCTGGTAAGAAGCAGCCTTTCCTCC